CCTATTTCTTTTATCAAATTTAGAGATAGGGAGCAATTTTAGACCAAGGTTAGGGTTAGGTATAAGGGTCCAAATCTTTGTTAGGGTTAGGTTTTTGGGGGTCCTAAACATTTTTACTTAGTACCTTCGACATGTGTTAGCTAGTAGGTTTTTGAGATATAGTGTCCCCGGCGATATCGCCACTGGCGATAAAATAGCAATATTCTTTTTATGGCTATAAATTCAAAACCGTCAGTGATACATATAACCAAAACCGGTAGTTTCGTCATATGCCGAATCCCAAACTGCAGAGATTCTCCCGTAACTGTCCTAAATAAAAAATGGATCAAAATTTATTTTTAAAGACATTTTATCTACTTTTATCTTTATATAACGATATAATTAATAGTTTTTAACTAATTTAGATGGGACAGATTAAGGACCTGAATTACTCAGAAATCAATATAAAAATTAATAAACTTATATTATTAATTATATATCGATGTGGCTACAAAAAAAAAAGAACTTTGACTTATTGACCGCAGTGGTCAGAAACGCCAATTTTTTGCAAAACTTGTTCACAATTGCTGCGGACCGATTAGTGTTACACTAGATCTTAAATTTGATTGGCCAAAGAAAATTTTTAAAGGCGCTTTTTTCATCAGTTCTTGGAATGTCTCATTTTGGATATTTTAGATCGAATGTTAACTATATATTAAAAGTCAATAATAACTTTGCAAATTATATTCATAATAAATCTTTAATAATGAATACACAAATTTCATTTCTTGATCCAAATTCTTTTACATTTCTTGATAACGATCTTGAAGATCCACAATTCACTACCACTGACCCAAACGCAAAGGAACTTCTTGGAAATGCAAAAAAGCTACTTTCCGAAAATCAAGTCATTGCTATACCGACAGAAACAGTTTATGGCTTGGCTTCAAATGCACTTTGTTCAGAAGCGATTCAAAAAATTTATATTGTAAAAAATAGACCTTTGGATAATCCATTAATCGTTCATATTTCATCATTAAAAATGTTAAAAAAATATTTATTACCAGATCACACAGAAATTCCTAAAATTTATGAATCTGTTATAAAAAAATTTTGGCCCGGCCCTTTAACAATACTTTTACCAAAACCCGAATCAATTCCTTTAGAAGTCACTTGCAACCAACCTACTGTTGCTGTACGATTTCCTTCGCATCCAATAGCTCGAGCTTTGATATCAACATGTGGATTTCCTTTAGCAGCCCCATCAGCAAATGCATCGGGAAAGCCCTCACCAACTTTGGCGTCTCATGTTTGGACAGATTTAAACAATAAGGTTCCATTAATAATCGATGGTGGTCAATGTAATTTTGGCGTAGAATCTACAGTTCTAGACGCGATTAACTCTAAGGATCCAATTATATTACGCCCTGGAGGTGTTACTTATGAGGCATTGGTTCAGATTCCGGGATTTGAAAATCTAAGGGTTTATAGTAAGGACTTTATTGACAAGAAACTTGAAATAGCACCTACAACTCCTGGAATGAAATATCGTCATTATTCCCCTAATGCTAAAGTTGTGTTAATTGATCTTGATGGTGATAGGATTAAAGCAAGAACTATATTGAAAAGGGAAGTTCAGAGAATTAAGAATGGTGGTGCGAAAAAAATCGGAATTTTAGTATTTACAGATAATATAAATATACAAAATGATGTGCAGGAATCCAAGATTAATTTAAATACTAATACATTAATAAATGATTTTGATTTACCAAATAACAATAATACTATAGAGTATTCATTAGGTAGTTCAATTCATCCCGAACAAGTTGCTAAGGAACTATTTAAGGGATTGAGATATCTTGATGAACATAAAGTAGATTATATAGTTGTAGAAGGAATTCCTGAGATTAATGAAGGATTGGCCGTAATGAATCGATTAAGAAAGGCCGCTTCTACGATCTTAAAAGAATAACTTGCCAAGAAAAAAAAATGTGATGTAAACATTGGGTTTTTAACAAGTTGCCGGATCAGCACTAATGCAAATAAAATTAATCCTATACCACGCGTCAAAATTCAGCATCACGTGATATGCACTTCTTAAAGCGTACGTCCCTACGTACCTAGATAAAAAATCAATTCGCCCTTAAAAATGTATCCGGGATATAGTGCCGTAATTTTCCAACCTGTTACTGTAAATTCTCAAATAATGGGCATAGGCGTTATTTCGAAAATCATGCCTCCAAAAATAGTATAGTTAGAAATATAACGTACATGCGCGCGCACTTTATAATAATTCTGTAATTCGGCTCATACGTTTTTTTTAACGTAATAAAGTACTTGCACATGGTTATCACGTGCAGAAAATTTTGCTTATTATGTCAACGATTCCAAGATAAAGCCATTATTTTTGAGAGTTACGGTAATGGTAATTATAATTTGGTAATTTACCTCTAAATTACCTAAAAATTACCGTAATTTACAAATAACAACACTGGGTTTAGGATCTTAATAGTATACTGCCTGATATTTATTTAGCCATAACTGCTTTCTGTGCCTCATATTTATCTTCCTGTAAGTATATGCTCACTATGTATATTTATATTATATGTATGCTATAGTCAATTCTGCATTTAGACGATTTTAACGCTCGCCGAAGGTGAAATTCACCGGGTATGTCGTTTTTCAAAAACGGTTTTGATAATCGGTACCGGTATTTGGTATGCTAAGTAAAAATGTCCAGCATCCTAAAAAATTCTAACTTCTACCTTAATTTAAGCCTTAGACCATAACCCTAAAGTTTAATTTTAATTTTAAAATTTGTGGTAAAATTTAAATAAAATATAATCACTAAATTTGATTAGATTTTTAAGAATTTTGCGAATTTGGTTAGATGCCTATAACCTGTGATTGATTCTGATTGGCCGAGAATGCGTGGATTATCAGAGTAACAGTTTAACGAATTCACGTCCTTTAATTCTTGAAAAAATGGAAAATGCTGTGAAAACGAAACCTACTACTTTAGAGGAATTAAAACGAAATCGTGAGAAATTACAATTTCGTAAAACTCGTTTTGAAAAGCGAAACAAAGCCAAAAATGGCAGTCCGGATCTTTGTAACAAGTCTCTCTCTCAGTGCGAGAACTCCGCACATAGATCTGACACAATTTCGGTGCGATCGTCCACTGCCTCAGTTAATCGATTCACTGTCGCTACTGCCAGCTCAAAAGAACCGTCTTGTACAGTTTATGAGAAACTTATATTGGACTATCTTACGAAAGGTCTACATAATGTCAGCTCATTACCATTAGATTCTTATGACCTACTTAAAAGGTGATTTATTTATGAGAGCTAAATTCTTGTTCTCTAACTAATAAATGCTAAAAGAAACTTTATAATTATTTGTAGACTTGCTGTGTGGCAAAGTGATTTTCGTATTCCTTTTACACAGACGTCTTTAAAAAATCTTGAGACTGCACTTAAGGCTTTATCAAATACATGGGGTCCTAAGGCTATATCTGTGAAAGAAAAAAAAATTAATGGGAGTAAGAGATTAATAGTGGAAGAGGTTGATTCTCGAAAGTTGAATGCAGTCAAAGTTATTGAAAGGTATCTTCTAGCTGGAATGTGTATTTTACATGATAATTATTTAGGTTCTAAAGTATGTTGTGTATATTATTTATGTTTATGGGGAAATGTTAATAATATAGTGCTTTAGATTCGGAAGATCCTTCATCGTTAGAAAAGTCGTTACAATTGACCACTTACGCAAGCAATGACGGTAAAAAGCGCAAAATTGATCGTATACTAGATGACGACGACGATGATGGTAACTATTATTAGGCTTCTTTTTTTTTTTTTTAATTGGTAAAGAAAGGATTTTACCAGTTATTATTTTAAATAAGATTCCATAAATAAATCTTTTCCGATATAATTTCTAGCGTCAAAAGAAATAAATGAACTTCTTGCAAAACCATCATTTAAAGAATTAGAAGAGAATGGTCCGTTGCATAATCTATGTGTAATGTTGAATAAAAAATCTTCTCAAGACAAGTTAATAATCGATATGGTAAGGGTGCATCTACATCTACATTTATAATATAATCTATTATTGTTTAAGGTTACTAATTTAAAATTTTATTCTGGACACAGTTTCGATCGACAAATAATTCGTTCCGGGAGTTTTGTGTTTATGGTACGAAAGCTGATTGTCAAAAGCGTCGGAAAACAACTAGAACTTGCAAAATGGTTCGTAAATTTATAATAACCTCTTTTAAAAATGACCTTTACTAAATAATCGAATTACCGCATCCATTTTTGTATAGCTTCATTTCCGCCCAATGTTGCGGCACCATACGGATTTGGAACTAGGTGATTGTTCATATCTCAACACCTGTCATCGGATGGACACTTGCAAGTACGTACACTATGAACTGGATGAAGAGGATGAAAAATGGACATATATTCAACGAAAACAAATACCACCTGCTGTGGTAAGGAATTGTTGTTCGTTAATTTATGTCTATTTATATTTATATCTAGGAAACATTTAACACTTATTTAAATTGAAGGTGTTTGTTCCACCAACAAAAGTGGTAAGGATTCTTGCTTTTGTACTAAAATAGTTCAAATACTATGTTATTATGTTGATGAATATTTTCTTTTCTTTTGCTTAGCTTCCTCCTCAATGGATCAACTGCGACGTACGGAAGTTTGACTTTTCGATTCTCGGAAAGTTTACTGTTATAATGGCTGATCCACCATGGGATATTCATATGACGGTAGCGTGTTTTAAGATTTTTTAAATTGATTATTATTCAATGATCTTACTAAAAGATTTGTTTCAGCTCCCCTACGGTACTATGACTGACGATGAAATGAAAGCTATGGAAATTTCTACATTACAGGATGAAGGATTATTGTTTTTATGGGTTACGGGAAGAGCAATGGAACTAGGAAGAGAATGCTTGAATATTTGGGGGTAACTATTCAAATTGATGACCTTAAATATTTTCAATTAATAAAACTAAGATCACTTTATTTGATTAGTTATGATCGTGCAGATGAACTTGTATGGATCAAAACCAATCAATTACAGAGACTTATTCGGACTGGACGAACAGGACATTGGCTAAATCACAGCAAAGAACATTGTTTAGTTGGAATTAAAGGTAATCCTGAAGATTTAAATTTGGGACTAGATTGCGATGTTTTAGTTGGAGAGGTAAGGACTATGCATATACCTTTAAGATTCATCGTCATAGACGCATTAACAACTTTTAATATTCATATATTCTTAAAAGGTTCGAGAAACAAGTCGTAAACCAGATGAAATCTACGGATTAATTGATCGTTTGGCACCTGGTACACGTAAATTAGGTACGTACCATTTCTTTAGTATGATTAACTTTATTCATTCTCATACCGATCTTACATTCAACTCAGAAATATTTGGCCGTCAACACAATACGCGCCCTGGATGGATGACCCTTGGCAATCAATTGGATGATGTTCGAATATATGAGCCAGAATTAGTCATGCGGTATAATGCAAGATATCCAGAGAAGCCTTGTAAGCTAACTCAACTACCCGCGGATTGGTAACACATTTATTTTGCTATGCTAGTTACCAACAGTTTTAACCAGGGTTTTACGGACCGGTCGACGGTCAACCTTGACTAGACAAATTTGACCAGATCGGTCCAAGGATTTAACACTAGTCAAATTAGTCAAATTGTATATGTGGTGTATATACATATATTATATATGTACGATACTTATCTGTTATGTAACAACCCGATTTAATAATAGATCATTTGACCATTTTGACCAGACTAGCTTAGCCAGAGGCTTTTAGACCATTGACCGGCAAAATTTTGGCTAACTAATGATTTGATCAACCCTGTTTTTAACTTACGTAATGAATTAAGCAACTTATACAAGTTGTCAAAACAATTATTTATTATGTTGGGAAAATTGATTACTAACACATTTTAGATTTTTTTTTAAACCATTTGCATGATTACCAATTCTAATAAAGCACAAAAAATAAAGCAAGAAATTTTTGCGAATATACTTATATATGTTTTATGTCGGAATGGAGTCCACATAGGTTGTATTAGAATTCTAAATCGTATTCGAATTAAAGAATTCAATTTAATTCAATAAAATTAAATGGGTTCTAAAAATTATTTTATCGAGTATATTGCTTTGGAATTTATGTCACTTTAGGATAAAGTTTATTTATAACGCGGCGCATTACCAATTAATTAAAGGCATTACATAAATTTTTTACATTTATGGTCACTAACCACTACCACAAAGCAATTTATTTTTTTACATACAATTAATTTTATTGCACGCATTTTTGCAATTGCATTTAATATCATCTACTTGTGGAGGTTGCGTAACAGATGCCTCTCAAATGTTTATAAGCATCGAAAAAATATTTCCAACTCCGAAAAATTGTCAGAACCAAATGAATACAAGTACAGTAAGCATGCACGATTAAAAGTCGATACGATCCAGTTCATGTATATACAATAATTACGCCATATACACATAAGTCTAATAAGTAATTACACAAAATGTTATCATGCCAAACAATATACAAGAACTTGGTGAATGTTGATTATTTTTTAATATAGTGTAAATTCTTGTGAATTTAATTCTTTCACAGTCAAATTGATTATTAACGTTAATATTAGTCAAAAATAAATCAAGAAGCAAAAGAGCATATTTACATAATTTTTAATATAACGATAATGCATAATAATTATACGTAAGCATAATTCTGGACACTAGCAATAAATAACGATTTTTTAACTAAAAATTTTGTCTACGAAACTTTTCTACGCACTTCTTTTTAACTTTTGGTATACTAATCCCGGGTAGAGATTGAACCCGGCATAAAATTCAAGCTGTGGGCCACATTACCAAATTACAAGCCTAGTCTTTCTAGTAATGCGTAGCAGAGGATTTAATGGTAGTCATAGACCAGATCGGTGTGTGTACCTATCGCTATCGCAAAATTTCCGGGTGATGTAACCTGCTTTTTTTGGGTAGATTAGTGGAGCAACAAAATTCAGCAGATCGACCAAAATTTAGGGTCGGAATAGGCCGGAATTGATAAATCTCTCTCCAAAATTTTACTAATGAAATGGTAGCCCACGTACTAAGTAAAGCTGCCCAGATGATAATTTTGCTGTAATATAGTTAGCTTTTATTATTTCTTAATGCCGGCCTAGCTCCGGGCCTACTCCTACCATAAATTTTGGTCGATCTGCTGAATTTTGGTTGCTCCACTAATCCTATCCCTTTTTTTTTCGGTAAACGAAATTTAGAAACTTCTGCAATATCGATATATTTAATATTATAAAATTTCCGGCCGCTTTAAAACTACACCGGAAGTCAACTTAACTAAACGGAATCTCCTGTATTTTACAATAGATTTTGTGCCCTGATCGCTATTTTTAGATGATTTAACGGTAATGGTAAGTGACATCATATCTGATATAATATATACATACGTACGTACGTACCAATTTTTTTCTCACACAATATTTTTTTCTTCTTTTCCGCCCGTTGTTTTATTCGTTGTACCATTCACTTCTGCATAGGTTCGGAGAAGTTAGGTTGTCCTATGTAGTCGCATTTCAACTTATCCACAAAGTTGATTACACGACGTCGTTGTATTACTGCGGAGATTCCTTGCTTGAGGTATTTATCTTGCTATTTCTGTTTACATCTGTATTTTGATTTATTTCACATTAGAAATTTACACCTTT